TATATTGGGCCGGGGCTGTGGCTCAGTGGTTGAGCACTTGCCTAAATACAGATAAAAAGTAGTTATATATATATATATATTCATACCAACTACTAATATTATAGTCATGAATGCGTTTTTGACTTTGCTAGACTTAATTTACTCCTCAATAAAATGAAGAAATTTATCTACATTATAAGGTTGGTATGAGGATTAAATGAGATAACATATGAAATATGCTCAGCCCCTGCCTAGCAACTAGAAGCAATTAACAAATGAAGTCTATGTGTTTACTGCTTTTTATCTGTATTTACTGAATTCTTCCTATGTGCCAGGTACTGTCCTGGGTATTGAGGATATATAATGATGAAAAAGACACTGTCCCTTTCCTCAAGATTTCACAGTGTAGTGTTAGTATTAACATGATATATTGGGCCGGGGCTGTGGCTCAGTGGTTGAGCACTTGCCTCACATGCGTGAGGCACTGGGTTCGAGCCTCAGCACCACATACAAAAAATAAATAAATAAAATACTGTATTCACAAAACAAATTTTTAAAAACATGATATAAGAACTACTAAATTTAGCTGTTTTTTTTTTTTTTTTTTAATGTCAAGGGACATTTGTCTCCACTTGAATCTCTTTTTTAAATATTTTTTTGTAGTTACGGTTGAACACAATACCTTTATTTTATTTATTTATTTTTATGTGGAGCTGAGGCTCGAACCCAGCACCTTGCACATTCTAGGTGAGCGCTCTACCACTGAGCCACAACCCCAGCCCCTTGAGAATATTTTTATCGTGAGCATGGGTTACTTTTATAATAAAAAATAATTATAGTTACAATGCAGTGTAATCATTGCTGATCTGAGTTGTGTATAAGAATATGAGAAGAGAGAAGCATCTCCTGTTGCCTGCCTTCAGATACAATTACTATATCTAAAGTAAGATGGGCAATAGACCAGTTAGAAGGCTGCCCACAGAAGTGACACATGGGAAAGGAAATTCCCCAAAACCAGTGAAGACAGAAAGGGTGGGTTAGGAGCAATTAGAGCTAAGGAAATGAAAAGCTAGGAGTCCAAGTTAGCAAGAACAGATTAGATTGTGTATCTGGCTAAATAAACAAAGCAGGGACATAATGATAAGAAACAAGAGTGTCTCCATCCAGAAGCCAAGATGGGTGAGGTTAATTGATAGTAAATGGAAGACCATGAATACCAAGCAAAGCATGTGCTGTGATACATAGTCTTAGTTGCCATTATCCCCAAACATGGTAGCATACACAGAAGGAATTTGCATAATTGAAAATAATGCTTGTATTTCTTTCCAAAGAATCTTAATTTGACATCAGCATATAAATGTACAAATGACATGATAGGAGACTACAAAGTAAATGTCATTGTTTTTGTTGGTATTTTTTATTTTTGTGGTGGTGGTGGTGGTGGTGGTGGTGTAGTGGTGGTGATTGAATCCAGGGCTTTGTGCATACAAGGCAAGCACTCTACCCACCAACTGAGCTATATCCCCAGCCCTAAAACTTGGTTTGTTGGTGTTGTGGGATTTTTTTTTTAATTGTTGATGAACCTTTATTTTATTTATTTGCTCATATGCAATGCTAAGAATCGAACCCAGTGCATCACACATGCTAGGCAAGTACTCCACCACTAAGTCACAACCCCAGCCCACCTAACACTTGTTTTTTAAAGAACTTATTCTCTGCGTCAGGACCAGACAGTTTATTTCCTTGCCCCATTTTACTTTTGTTTAATTGACTACTTCCCAAAGATACCTGAGAAGACTGCATATTTACTTAGAATAACTGTTTTAGGTATATAATGTGGCACTCAGTACACAAAATCATGACACCAAGCATTTATTCTTTTTCTGTATTGAATATAGATTGTGTAGAGAAAAGCCAAGTTGCATGATAAAAAGGGTCTTTTATAAAGAAATCTGTCATGTTCTAATGTGCAATAGGGTAACTATAGATAATATGTTTTCATCACAGATTAATGGTGAATATTGGAGGAGATAGAGTCAACTTGATCTAAACATAACAGAATAAACTATTGAATCACATGGTTCCCCATAAATATTTACAATCTGTGTGTCAATTTTTATTTTTTTAATTAAAAAAAAAACAGAAGCAGAAGGGGAAACTGTTCTATGAGGAAGCATCTTAGACTTAAAATATACTAGTGTACTAGTATATTCCATACTAGATACCCTTTTTTTTTTTATTATTTTTTTGCAGGAAGTGTGGTAATCAGTCATATGTAAATTGATGGCTGTCCCTCTTTTTATATGCATACCTCTCTCTCTGGCATAGCTGTCTTGCCTCCCAAGATTTTTTTTTTATAAGGCTACTTCTGTTCTTGAATGGTATCAAGTAAGTTGAGCATGAAATGACTTTCAGAAGTCAGAATGGGAGAGTACTACCCTTAAATATGAAAATAGGTGTTGCCTGGTTCATTCCTGTTTATCCCACACCAGAGCTTGAGGCAACCCTAGAGGTAACTATGCCATAGGCCCTTTAGCTGCATAAACTACAGAGGGAAGACTTTCGGCACCCCTTCCTAGAGGTTTAGTCATCTTCCCCTTCTTCAACCCTGAACAATAAGCTCTTCGAGAGGCCTGGGACTAATCTGCATAAGCCTTCAGCTCCCTAGACCTTTCCAACATCTATTTTAGCATATGAAATTTCTGGTATGTTTTCAAGCTCTTTGTCAATTTACCTCCTAACCATAAGATTTCTCATAGCTTGTTACTTGTTTTTTAACTGAGCTTATCAAAGTTCAAGTTCATAAAAACTCCACTACTACAATTTCACCCACTTGAGAAGAGTTAGCCAGAAAATCTGAATGTTCCTTGATTCCAAATATTCAAATATTCTTACTGTGTTATAAACTAAAAAAAAGTTGTATATATTTTTTCTAATTTATTTTCTTAGCTTTCAAAGTAATTTGTTTAAAACGAAAAATGAATAGGCTTACTGCCACATTTTAGTTGTGCTAAATTGTTTGGCTGTAACTTTAGTGGTGATGGAGACAATTTTCAAGCGGTGGAATCTGTTCTGTTTGGATCTGACAGCTGGCTATATTAAATATCTTGGAGCTTTTTACTTTGCATGAGGAGAGGAAATTGGGAGGGTGGGAACAGCAGTGGAAGAAAGCAATCCACTTAATTTAATGTTCTGTGTTTGTTTGCTGATTCCAGTAATAACACTGTGCAGCTGTTTGAACAGCTGCCTTTTGATTTTCTTTGTTTACTGTTTAGGTTTATTAAGCTTGTCTTTAATACTTATTGTCTGCTCTTTAACTAGCGTTCCTTCTTTATTGAATATATTTTAATATGTACCACTCTTGTGATCAAAGCATGCTTTGATGTATATAAGTTAATTTACTAAAGAAAGAACTTTTAAATTTTTGCAGCTCATAATGAAGATGACTTATACTTACTTTATTATTATCCCTTAGCTGTATCATTGTAGTTAAATATTTTATAATTTGATGAATTGTCTATTGAAATTAAGTCAGGATTTAAATTATGTTAAGCAACAGTTTGTTAATTTTCCTGAGTCTGCCAACAGGCAGCTTAGTCTACATACTCCATTCTAGTAAAAAAAAAGAAAAAGAAAAAAAAATTGGCAGACTAATTTTAAAGCATGTGGATTTTGTTTTAACTACTTTGTATGAACAGATTGGGTACCTAGAAAGTATACACAGACATACACAGGTAAAAGAGATATTTTGTATTTATTTGTCAGTCTTTTTTTAATGTTTATTTTTAGTTTTTTTTAGATGGACACAATATCTTCTTTTTATTTTTATGTGGTGCTGAGGATCGAACCCTGTGCCTCATGAATGCTAGACCAGCACTCTACAACTGAGCCACAAACCCAGCCCTGTCAGTCTTCTAAGTAGACTTGCTGTAGGGCTGGGGTGGTGGCTCAGCGGTAGAGCACTTGCGCTTACGTGGCCCTGGGTTTGATCCTCAGCACCACATAAAAATAAGTAAGTAAAATAAGGATACTGTGCCCACCTACAATTAAAAAATAAATATTTTTTAAAAAGACAAGTAGACTTGCTGTAAATTTCTTCATATTGTGGCAATTTTTTATATTTACAGGTGAGGGACTTGTGCATTGCTTACATGCTGGTGACATTAACTTATCTCTATATTGGAGTCCTGGTTTTTGCTTCATTTCCTTCACCACCATTATCCAAAGATTGTATTGAGCAGGTAAGGCACTGTGTGCCCTCTTTGTGTGATTCCTTATACTTTTGTTTATGATTGTAGGCACTATGCTATAGTAACAAGATATAATATCAGACAGACCTAGGTTTGAATACCATTTCCACCATACCCGCAAAGTGTGGGAATTTGGACACCTTTCCCAATCTTTTATGAGCTTCAATTTCCTTTTCCATTAGATAGTGTACATACTCTGTCTGAAATAACATACTAGATACCAGGCACCTTGTGGTATTCAAATAAATGGCTTATATGATGTATATTATTTACCTTTGTGTGGAGAATAGTTACAGTTATTGTTATGAATTTATAAAATCTCTACAGAGAATCCCCTGACCTGCCTTGTTTTCCAAACTCAGATCTTAAAATGCCCTGGATAAACTGTTCTGAGTTCATAATCTCTAATGATAGATCTGACTCATTTAGATACTGAGTTGCTACTGAAAACAAAGACAGACTATTTGGCTGCTTAAAAAGACAGAAAAAAAAAATAGAAAAAAAATCTTTCACTAAAAGGTTACCATAAGTAATATTTTCTTCGATTTAATCCATCAAAAATTTAGGAATAGTATACTCTTTTTTGGGAGGACGGGGATACCAGGGATTGATCTCAGGGGGACTTGACCACTGAGCCACATCCCCAGCCATATTCTGTATTTTATTTTAGGGATAGGGTCTCACTGAGTTGGTTAACACCTTGCTTTTGCTGAGTCTGGATTTGAACTCCCGATCCTCCTGCCTCTGCCACCCAAGTCACTAGGATTACAGGCTTGTAACACTGCTCCTAGCTAGGAATAGTCTACTTTTTATTGTGACTACAGAATTTTTCATTAAAAAAAAAGAAAGAAAAAACAAAAAACAGCTTTTCATGGTTCCTTTCTAGTCAAAAGATATTCCTCCAGTAGAATATAGTGGTGTATACAATGATTTATTACAACTGAATTATAAAATTTATTTCAGCAGAATAATGTTAAGTACTATTCTCATCTCTCTAAGAGGAAGAGGTTACTGCTGTTATAATAGTTTGAAATGTTCTTATTCTCTTGATTTCTTTGATTCCAGAAGTTCTTTGGCAGGCAGATATTTGCTGAATTCCCAGATATGAACAATCCCATACAAAGCCTACTCCCTTGGGAATAGGGATATTTGTGGTATTTGTATTTGAAAGGAAAAATGTTTTAAATTGAGTGACTAATTTTTTTAAGATATCAAACTAAAGGGGTTATGAAACATTGTAGAAATAAATTATTTTTTTACTTAATGTTATACTGTAAACAGTGGTGGTACTAGATGATAGATATACTCTCACCTTATTCTATAATCTTTACTATGAAAGCACTACAGTACTTCAGAGGAGGAAAAGCAAGAAAGCTAAAACAGTGTTGAATTTAATTTGCCATTTAAATATATTAAAAACTGATTTAGGTATTGTGTTTGGACCTTATAGAAAGCAGTGCTTCTTGATCCATCTATGGTAAATAACAAGTTTTTTGTTTTTGTTTTAAATTCAAAGCAATTGCAGACTGATACTTTTATAAAAGAGTAAATATATGGCAGTATCTTAACTTCTGTAAGAGTTTCTCAGCATTTACTTTCAATATTTGTACTTTCCTCATTGAAAAATAGCTAAGGAGCAGTTTGTGGATGGGCACCAGTTCACAGTCCACAATTTGAGTAGTACCTGTGTTCAAAATAAGCATAAGACTATCCATTTTATGAATTTGTATGTACTGAATTTGAGTTTTAACATTACCTCATTATCTTTCTTGGGTTAGAATTTTTTAGACAACTTCCCTAGCAGTGACACCCTGTCCTTCATTGCAAGGATATTCCTGCTGTTCCAGATGATGACTGTGTACCCGCTCTTAGGCTACTTGGCTCGTGTCCAGCTATTGGGCCATATCTTCGGTGACATTTATCCTAGGTAAGGACTCTTCTCTTGACCAGCAGGATGTGCCAAGCAACAAATGACTATGCAAACAGGTCAGTTTAAAGTGTGACTGATCCTTTTGCTATAAAAATTTGCCTAATGAAATGGTTACTAAGGATAGATCATTGGTGTCCCTTTCCCAGAAGAGCTTTAAATATAGAAGCCACTCCCTTGTCCAGAATAGATTTAGGTTCATTCCTTCCAGTATAGCTAATTAACTGATATCAGTTATATATATCTTATGACTTAGTTGCTATTATTTTACATATTGCTAAGAAGCACAAAATACGTCATACCTGTGTTGTCATGTGTGCAAATGAGAAGCAACAATGTTACGTGAATTATTGGTCATTGATACTTACTTGTGTATTATTAACATTTGTGCATTTTTGACATAAATGATCAGACGTTTAGAATTGAAGATGAGATATATGAGTGTATTTCTTACTTGATATATGACAAGTTTAAATTACAGTGGTAAATTTTAATCTCCTGTTGGATATGGGGGAATTGTGAGTCCCTTTGAAAATCAGTTTAAAGCTAAGCTTGTTACCCTTATCCAAGAGAAGTTTCCATGTATGGTTTAAGGGTTTCCATGAAGTCTTCTTGTGGATCCCTGATTAACTCCTTCCTACTCTTACTTTGGTTTTTCATTGTTGTTGTTATTTTCTTTTTGCAATACTAGGGATCAAGCTCAGGGGATTTTTATCATTGAGCTACATCCTCAGTCCTTTTTATTTATTTTGAAACAGTCTTGCTAAATTGTCAAGGCTGGCCTCAAACTTGTGATCCTCCTGCCTCCTGAGCCCCTGGGCTTACAGGTGTGTGCACCTGTAATTACCACACCAGGCTTATGTTGTTTTATTTTAGGTTTGTCTTAGTGAAAAGTACCTAGTCCTATTTTATTGGGAATAAATTATCTTAAAGGAAGAAAACTTTAAAATTTGGGGAAAATTGCATTTTACCACGACAAACTGAATAAGTGATCTTAGCCACTTCTTGTTGGAAATAAACTTTATGTAGTCTGTTCCCTCGGTAAGTAATTATATCTATAAATATGTTGGTTTAAAAGCAAAGCAAAAGTCAAGAGTTATCAGGTCTCAGGGGTAGGGGGGCGTAACTCAGTGGTAGAGTACTTGCCTAGCATGCATGAGGCCCTGGGTTCTATCCCAGCACTGAAAGAAAAGAGAAAAAAAGAGTTACCAGATCTCTAAGATTGATAGTAGAAACAAACTGCATTCCTAACATTACTAATCTAGAAGACTGGAGTTCAGTAAATATAAGACTCCTGTTGTGTTTATTCTCTGTGCTGTATTTATATTCACCAACATAAAATAAATTTTGTGAATTTATGGATGAACAAATTCTGGACAAATGCATTACTCCTGTTTTCTGCCATTATTTTGCAGAATGGTGGCTGTTAGACTGTTTTTTCTTCTTGCAAAATGTCTGGGATTTCCCTTTCGTGTTCACATTATATTTCTTCCCCTGTCACCAAAAACACACTATCATTTATCCTACAGTTACAAGTACGCTGCAGCCTCTGCATACTTGGGAGCATACTTTTTGGTCTCAGAACCTCTTTATGCTGTTAAAATTTATTGAGGACCCCCAGGAGCTTTAGTTTTTGCAGGTATATCTATCAATATTTAACATATGAAAAATTAAGATTTAAGAATTTTAAAGTATTTGTTAATTTCCTTAAAAATCAATAAGGCCAGGTGCAGTGGTGACCACCTGTAGTCCCAGCTATTTGGAAGGCTGAGGCAGGAGAATCTTGAATTCGAGGCCAGCCTGGTCAACATAAGCAATGCAGAGATACCCTGCCTCAAATAATAATAATAATAATAACCATTATTTGTTAGCATTAATAACATTTTTTCAAAATATAACTACTTCCAATTTTTTTTTAACATTTTAAAACTCTTTAATGTCTGCTTCTCTAGTGGACAATTGGATTCCCTTTCGTTTCCGCATTGTCTGTTATAATATATTGATTTCATTTAAATATGTGAAGAAAAATCCAGCCTCACATAAATATACTTGAAAACTCTAGGGTTTTTTGGGGGGTGGGGTGGGGTTCTTTGGGGGAGTGTGGATTTTTTGTTGCTGTTGTTTTGTTTTGGGGGGGCTTTGCATTCCTAGGGATTAAACCCAGAGACACTCTACCACAGCTACCTACCCAGCCTTTTTAATTTTTTTAATGTTGAGACAGGGTCTCACTAAGTTGCTGAGGGTGTTGCTAAGTTGCTGAGGCTGGCCTTAAACTTGTGACCCTCCTACCTCAGTTTCCCAAGCAGCTGAGATAACAAGCATGTTCAACCGCACCCAGCAAGAAGGGGTATTTTTAATAGCCTTTTCAGACAATGGCAGATATTCTTTGATACTATGTCAAAACTTTGACAAGTGGTAGTTTGTTATAGTTGCAATGTATAATCAGGAATTTAATCACATTAAAATCTATTGGTGTTTCTTGTACATTGGTTCTTTTATCCATCATGAATGGTCAATATTGGTTCACTGAGTTCTGCAGATCTCCCAAAACCCACATTCATTATTATCAATAATTTCATCATGAAATTCTTTTAAGTTTTGGGAAACTCGCAAGTTCTTCAAAATTATAGTTTTTATTTGAAAGCTCACATGCTGTCATTGGCAATAAATACTGCAGGTTGTTTCCTAAAGTGATAAGCTCATCATTTATTTTAAAGAAAATGTCTGTCAAACACCGAAGTTTGTTTTTGTTTTTACAGTACTGGGGATTAAAGCCAGGGTGCTTACCACTGTACTATATCCCCAGCCCCTTTTATATTTTTCACTTTGAGACAGGGTCTTGCTGAATTGCCTAGTCTGGCTTCAGACTTACAATCCTCCTGCCTCAATCTCCTGAGTAGCTGAGATTACAGGCATGCACCAACAGCAGCCCCCACACACACCCACACACCCACACAAAAAAACACCCAAGTTTGGATGACCATCATTGTCTGCATATCAAGTAAAAATAGCAGTATTTGGGAAAAACAGCTAGTTTGGCTTCCAGTTCTACTGCTCAAGCACTTTTTCCCAAGAACAGCCATTTTACTTCAGTATATAGGAGATATGCTCTATTATGTAATTCCCATTTGCTCAATAGAATATTAAAAAGATGTATATTCAAAGCATGAATTTTTTCTGTTGTTTTCAGACTGGAGTTCAAACCCAGGTCCTTGCACATGCTCAACACATGTTCTGTCACTGAACTGCACCCCAACCCTCAACAGCATTTTTTAATAATTTTTTTTCTTTTTCTTTCTTTCTCCTCTCTCCCCACAGTATTTGGCATAAAGAATACAAATTACAGATAGGTACAGTTACCTATACCCATGCTAAGGGGCCAGCATTTTGAACCACCATTATCTTTGCAAAGCAAATAACATCTTGTAGTATGAAAAAATTTTTACCCAGGGACTACCTGAAAGGATATTGGGAAGCCCTGAACTTCATGATCACACTTTAAGAACTACCACTTTGGAAAATATAGAAAGTCATTTCCTTTTACAATACAGAAATAACAAAGGCCCCGCCAGGTCTCAAAGCCCTGAAGCAATTTTAAGATTTGAGTTCCTAAACAAATAGTAAGATCTTGAAGCCTAATATCTTCGTAATTTATCAAGATATATGACTGACCACTTATTTGCATAAGGGATTTTCCTTATTTTTAGTTCTCTGTAATCTTTATCTGAGATTAATTAATCTCTGATGATTTGGTCCAGAATGTTGCTTTGATATGTACATTAGGCTTCCGAGAATCATTTTGGGGGGAAGTATTTATTTCCTTGGCATCAGTGTTTATGTACATTTATTGTTATTTGTTTCCAAAATTAATTCCCAACCTTGAATTGTTAATATCTAGCTAAAGTATTTAGTAAAAATTCTATTCATGGTAAATATTGAATAGCTTTAGATAAATCTGAAAAATAAATACTTGTCCATATATAATGCCTTTCCCTTAATATATAAAATTTTTCTATTATAAATGTTAAGGTAAACATTTTACAAACAATTGAAGTATAGAAAAGAGGAAACATTATGTGAAATTCTAAATCCTAATACTATCCATCATTACTGCTTTTCCAGAGTGTTTACATCTAATATTTTTTCAAATATTTTTGGATTTTCTTCTCTAGTGAAAATCTAGCTAGCTCTTTTTCAAATTGGTTAGGTAATTTTTTAAATCATCTAGGTAATAATGATGTGATTTTTAATAATTGTTACTATATTCTGTCAGGTAAATTGTTGCCTTACATTTTTAATAGCTTTTTTCATGGTTTTGATTATTTTCTTAAGATATTCCAAATGGAATGATAGATCAAAGAATGTGAATTCTGATACATGCTACCAGTTTGCACCTATAGAATTTGGCCTATTTATGTAATTGCATTAAAGGGCCAATTTCACTGTCTTGTGACCAGCAGTGAGTACTATTGTTTGCCTTTTATTTTTGCTGTGATCTTATTGACAATTCATTTTAAAGATGTTAAGAATGAATTTTGTTCTTATGTTAGTGGTTACAATTTGCTTATTTATATATATGTTGTTTTTCCTTTTAATTCTCTTCTCACCTTGTAGCATTTTCCACGTGCTGATTCTTAATCTAATTATTGTGGGAGCTGGAGTGATCATGGCCTGTTTCTACCCAAACATAGGAGGGATCATAAGGTACTGCCTGTACCGTTTTGGTGCATTGGCCTTTATTTTTAGGCTTTTCCTGATGTTGTTGTCATTGTCACAGTCGTTGTCATTGTTGTTTTAATTGTATCTAATTCTATTAATTTTTAAAATTGGTAGCATTCAAATGTAGTTCCCTGGTATCAGTTAAGGTGCTCATTAAACTTCATTTCTGTTTATTCCTGGTGGAGAATAGACTGTAGAAGCCCCATTATCCCTAAAGCTTCCCACTGTATTTCCTTTATTTTTCAACCCCCAAAAAAGGTATTTTTACTGTATAATACATAAATTCTTGTGACTGCCCAGGAGGTCCTTTATATGTCAACTTCCTTAATGCATCTATTCAAAAACATGTCAGTGTCCATTTTAGTCAAAAAGTAAGAGTTCAGGTCCCAGAGGAGACTCTATCCTTAATATCCTTTCCCTAAAAAGTTGTGACAGGTTGAGCAGGGTGGAAATAAAATTGTGACCTCAGATTCTCATGTTAAACTGGTTCAGAATGATCTGATTTCTCTTCCTTAATACAGACAGCAGAGCTGAGTCACTTTTTTGAAAGCCCTTATCTAAAAAAGTAACAATCAATGATTCATGAACAGCATTATTTGAGCCATTTGCCATTATACAAAAAGAAATACTTGGGGCAGGTATGTGGCTCAAGCGGTAGCATGCTCGCCTGGCATGCATGCGGCTCGGGTTCGATCCTCAGCACCACATACAAAGATGTTGTGTCTGCTGAAAACTAAAAAATAAATATTAAAAAAAAATTCTCTCTCTCTCTCTCTCTCTCTCTCTCTCTCTTTCTTTTTCTCCCCTCTCTCTATCTAAAAAAAAAAAAAGAAATACTTAGTCTTATTTTAAATAAAACAGGTGTAGGGAGAAAAAGAAACTAGAGGAGATTATTAGCCTGATACATATTGAATGTATTGGTCTCTTAAGTTTCTATTAAGCCATTCCTAAAGAAAACTGGGAAAGAGAGAGGAAAATGCCTGTTTTTCTGTCACAATCTCATGTTTAGATATTTTTGTTAATATCTTTGATAATTATGCTAAATGCCACAGTGGCACTCATCTGTTTTCACTCTTAAGCAGATTCTAGCAGTCCCTCACAAACTCAAAATGTGTAATTAGTTTATAAAGATCAAAGATGGGAAGCCTGTCTCCAGATGTTTCTGAGGAAGTAGCTACAATCACTGAGGCACAGAGGAACTATGGAGATTTGAGGGATGAATAAAAACCCTTTGTCAAGCAGATGTTATAAAGATGAGCAGGAAATAATTGTTTTTATTAACAAGTAAAATAAGTTTAAGCCCAATGTCAGCAATAAAAGAATCAAAGTAATTTTGTCACAATATGAGACTGAGGAAGATTTAAAGTTTACTGTATTTGCCTTAATTATAAAACAGAAAAAGCAAAATGTAAGGTGAATATTAATCCCCAAAGCTTTTATTTTACAGATATTCAGGAGCAGCTTGCGGTCTGGCCTTTGTATTCATATATCCATCTCTCATCTATATAATTTCCCTCCACCAAGAAGAACGTCTGACATGGCCTAAGTTAATTTTTCATATTTTCATCATCATTTTGGGTCTGGCTAACCTGATTGTGCAGTTTTTTATGTGAAAACTGTTTTCTTAAGATCTTTCATGGTATTTTGAGCCTTGACAATAGTTCTACATAAACTCACTTGTAAATGCTGTTGCTGCTGTAATTCTAAATGTTTTTCTAAAATAATTTGAAAGCAAAGGTCTATTACTAAGTATTTTTTATTAGAGTGGGAAAAGGATCAATAAGAATGAATAGTCTCTTTACCTTTATCATATTCACTTACCTCTTCATTCTCATTTGTCTTTTTTAAGTAGATATATAGGAAAAAAATCATAGGGTGTCCTGCTTAGAAATATAAGGTAGGTGGATTTATTTTAGCTATAATAAGGATTCTCAGGGTTTCACAGCATTTGCTAGCATATTACTAGATCCTGTTTCTGCTTTATGTTTCCATGTACTCAATTTCATTTTCATTTTCTAGAGTATGTCTATAGGCTTAAACTTCTACCATTTGGGACTGTAAACCAAATACCTCATTTTAAAAAAAAAAAATGCTTCCATGGCATCAGTGTTAATAGAATGAATTCTTAACTGAATCTTTAATCTCTGTTTGAAGGGCAAAAATTTAAAACAGTGTTAGTATGAGCCTCATAATCAGAAAATTATGCAAAATGAATTAGGAGAGTTTGTAGCGTGTCTGACTCCTCCTTTATTTCTAACTCATTTTCAGTTTTGTAGGTTGAAATTATAGTTGCCCAAACCAGGTTTTGCATTGGAGCAAGAATGATTGTCCCCATAGACTCAGGGGACCCTTCTGCTTTTTGGATCCCTGAATTGCAGAGGCTGTCATGACAGGCCCAATGGGGAAAGCATGGGCAGAGAGAGGCATATGAGGCCATGCAGGGGAGAAAAGGAAATGGAGAAGAGGCCTGGGAAGGTAAGGCTCTGCCCAGCATATCTTGACTCCTCTGGGAGTGAAAGTGGTTTCTCTACCACAGAGAAGGATTCATTCTGTTTAAAACATGACTTCCAAAAGGAGTCTGAAGTCTGGCCAGGCAGAGTTCAATCCCCATAAGAAAAACTTACATCCAAAAAAAAAAAAGATTAAGAAATCTGGATTCTTAGAATTAAGAATCTTTTTTCTCTGATTTTAGGCTAAAATTCATAAATGTGTTGATAAAGATTTCACATTCCAGGATAATGCGTAGATTTGTATTATTTCCTTCCCTGCAAAATATGGGTAAAATCATATTGTATGCCTAGTAAGGAGCTCCAGATTTAAGACCAGCCTTAATTTCTTTAAGCAAAGTTTTCCATTCTATTCATTGACCCATATGTCTATATTAATGATAATTTATAATTCCTGAAGCTTTTTTAAAAGTCTCATTATTAAAATTCTCAAACACACATAAAAATAGAATAATATGGTACACACCTACACGTCCATACCCAGAGTTTAGTAATTGCAAGGCTTAGCTGCTTTTGCTTCACCTGTCCTTTTTGTTCTTTTCTACTGAAATATTTTTATAGTCAATCTCAGACATTATGTCAGTTCATTTCTACATACCTTAACATATGCAGCTAATAGGCTTTTAAACTTAGTTACATTTATTATGGAGATAGTCTCAAAGTTTTTGGTAGCAGAAACTGCTGGTAAAAATTAGGTCAATTGGAAAATTCTGTATTAGATGTCTCAATTCCTGTGTTAACCTCTCCAAGTATAAGGAATGAAGAAATGACTCTGCTTGAGAGCCTCTGGATTTATATGACTTACTCAGTTAAGAGATATAAGATGCAACAACACTAGAGAGATCTTCTAGGCTCAATCCCTATTTATTCCTAATTACTTCCCTTCTCTTTATGAACTTTAGAGATAAAGTTTTCATTGCCTCTTTTCGAAAATGTACTTGAATGCTTTAACACATGCAAAAATGATTTGATGTGTTTTGCCCACTTAATGGACAAAGGAAATATGACAATTTCTAAAATCCTGTTAGATATATGCTTAATGGCATAAGAGACTATCTCCTTTGGCCTGTTATTGGCATGGTTAAACTCTTTGTATTTGAATGTGTGTGTCCTGGCTCACACATTAGCATAACAAGATATGAAATCATTAGGATCACATGACAATTAATTTGAGATTTTTCTCTACTGTCTATCATCTCTTTGAATTTTCTAATTAAGTTTCTTTCACTTTTTGCTCAGATGAGGTTAACTTTAGCTGCTTTGAAGGTAGCTTTTTTAACATACAACTGAAGGACACTATAAAATTTAAAAGGGTTTCTTTAGAGAGGTCTTCCTTAGAAATTCTGTGGAAGAATATGTGGCATATGCCAATACTAAATTAGAAAGGACAAAGAAAATGTAACTAAGTTTGATACCTGTGGATGATCATCTGAAATCAATTTCATGAGCAAATCCAAAAACTCATGGGAGTACAAAATAAATTTATCCAAAAAAAGAGACTATATTATATGGAAATGCTTTATATACAATAAGTATATTTTGTAAATACTATGTAAAGTCTAGTAGTACACTTTTTTGTTTCTCTTTGGAGTTCACTGGTAGAATTTTTTGTGTTTTGATATACTCATTTCCATAAATATTGAATAAACTACAATGTTCTGTGCTTTGGAGGAGACAGAGGTGTATAAGACATCATTCGTGTTCTAAAGGAACTTTCAATCTAGTAAAGGACCTGTGTTCACAATAATGAATGTTGCAAGACAGTTCATGCTGAGCACCTTTGGTGGGCATCCTAGGGTGGGTTGGTAAAGCAAGCTGAATTATGAAGCAACAGGGCCCATTGTCAAGCTTCTCCTAATAACTGTCCAAAATTTAAATTTTTTTAATATTTATTTTTTAGGTGTAGATGGACACAACACAATGCCTTTATTTTTGTGTGGTGCTGAGGATCGAACCCAGGTCCCACCTGTGCTAGGCGAGTGCTCTACCACTGAGCCACAATCCCAGCCCCCAAAATTTTAAATATTTGATATGTTTGCCAGCAAACGGAATCATATGTTAAGTATATTTGCTTTAACTTGGATAAATTTCCTCTAAGTCAAGTTTTACAAGATGTGTTTAACTGCTTCTTCATGCTGTTACTTTTTGCGTTCTTAGCACAGTCTGTTATTCACTCCTGTGAGTCATGCACAGCAAAGCCAAATGATTAATAGGGGAAATAATTAGAAACATATTGGGTGGTACAAACAAAAACATTCTATATAATTTTCTGTCAGGCTGGGCATGTAACTCAGTGGTAGAGCAGTTATGTACCACGTGTGAGGCCCTGGGTTCGATTCCCAACACACACACACACACACACTTTTCTCCAGAAATTTCACATGTTTAAATGTCAGTATTCATAATCTCAAATGTTTGAGCCGTTGATAACAGCAGGAAATATTGATGCTATATATTTTCTTTACAAATCACTGACCTGTTGCTTTTTAAAATCTGGTAGTTGTTCTGTTTTTGGTTTTATTTTGTGCTTTGGGGAATGGATCAAACCCAGGGCCTTGCACATGCTAGCCAGCAGTCTACCACTGAGCCACGTCCCCAGACTTTGTTTTTTTCTCAGATTCATCCCAATTGGAATGTCCAAAACCAAATTCAAATCTAGTTGACACTTAAACAGTAGAATGTGACATTAGTTTGTAATCCAAAATAAAATTAATCCTCTTAATGCACCCAAACTGACCTGACTGGCCCCAGTTTTATACTTAACTGCCATTTCACTTCAGATTATGTAAACACATATTGCAAAACAGCGCTGATGGGAACCTCTTAACCTAAATAGTATTCTCTGAAATGTAATTTGTTTTTTCATAGGAAAGTAGAAATTAAATCAGTATTATTTGAAAGAAAAATATTTCTGGGATTTTGTTTACTTAATTTTTGCTGGGAAATGCTATTGTCTCCTTGCTCTGGCCCCAGGACAAGAAAACCTTAGGTTCCATCTTTTGCAGGGTCAGACTTCTCAATGACTATGACACTGCAGATATGCGTGGTCCTGTTTCTAGCAAAATGTTGGTGTCATCATTTTCCAGAGTCCCTTAAGCCAAAAAAGGCCTCTAAATTTTTGACATCCCTAAGTAAAATTACTTTTTTTTCCCCAACATAATTTTTATTGATTTCCAAGTTCTTCTGAAAAGGTAAAATAAGGCTATGTCTTTTTAAAAGATTGGAAACTTCTCCATTCTCTTTATTGACCTCAGACCATGTAGTACAGACCTGGGACAGGGGTGAAAAGGCATTCACTCTCCAGATTTTTCTTCCTTTGGTTCTCTGTCAATACCAAGTGATCTAGGCACTCAGTTTACACTTGTTTAATTAACTATACAGGATTCTTCTTTAGTAGAAAATGATAAGTTAATTGCTATCATCTAGGATTTTATTCCATACATCTTCCCCTCCAAAAATATTGGGTCAGTCACATTCAAAGTTAGTCACTCAGTTAATATTTGAATACTAACTTCATGCCAGATCTTGTACTAAACACTGAGCTTACAGTGGTGAACAAGCCAGACATGACCCTCACAGTTTGTCATCCTTTGCAACTGAGTCGACCGTCTTCCTTAGGTATCACTTAAGTTCCCACCTCCCTGTCTGTTGAGTGCCATGATGAAGCCACATCATACACATTTTAAAAAGGATAGTGATGCTCACTTTGTAAAGTGAGCCGTGTTTATCAGCATAATATTTTTTCAAATCCAAGGTTAATTATAATCACATTAAAATTAGGTGGACAAACCTGGAAGGTGCCACAGATGAATAGGTGACTTTTGAGATGATGGATTCTAGGTGAATCATTTTTGTTCTTGCTTTGACATTTGCCTAGCAAATTTTTCTAAAAAGATGTCTAGGATAAATCATGGCACAGAAATCTTGTGGAAGTATATCAGCACTCAACCATGAGGTAGAAAACCTTCAAATGGATTACAGAGAGCTTTGATTACAGGGACAGATTCAGGTTTTATGGAGCCCAAAGCTTATATAATTTGGAGTTCCCTCTTTAAAGAAAAACATATAAAATTAGGAGCCCCAAATTAGGAAGGAGCCCATAGATGTGAGGAACTCTAGCTTTAGCTTTTTTAGCATTAAAATAAATCACACACAAACCATTCTAGGAAGAAGGGAAATGTTTGAAAGCTGAAGAAGGAGTAATCCGGAAATGTTTCAGGCTCCCTATTCAATGTGTCAAACTTTACATTTCTCTGCCACCTTTAAGAACTGTATCTTTGCCGAGTACATTGGTGCATGCCTGTAATCCTAGTGACTCTGGAGGCTGAGGGAGGAGGATCGAAAGTTCAAAGCCAGCCTCAGTAACTTAGTGAGACCCTGTTAAAAAATTAAAAAAAAAAAAATTGGCTAGAGATGTAGCTCAGAGTTAAGTGCCCCTGGGTTCAATCCCTGGTACCAGGGACATTTTTTTTTTCCGACTGGAAAATTTTTACCTGGCAATGGGTTTTGCAAGCTATTAATATTTTGTTGTTGCTGTTGTTGTTGTTTTAATTAATCTCTACAGAGATAACAAAGAATTCAAAGAATGCTGTTTAATTTTCAAATAGTAGTCTTTGTCTACCTTAGGGATGAGGAATGTTTTAAGGGCCATTGATAAAGAAAACAAGTTACCTAGAGCAGAATTAAAGTAAGGCAACATTTATTTATTTATATTCCACCTTGTTCCTGAAAGGAAATATTTTTATTCTCTTAAAGAAAATCAACTTTAAAGGACTAACTTGAAGACTTTTTAGAAAGCATTAGAAATTTATGATATTCCTTGAAGAGAGAAAACGAAAACTTGATTCAAATAAATAATTACTCCTCAGTGCCATATCATTTATAATCCTGTACTGTAGATAAAAGCCAATATTTAGTGCACAAAACTTTCACTAATTATCCTAGATTTGGAAGTGCAAAGATAAAATCAGAATAAGTACCAGATTTCTCTTTATTTAATTGAAACTATAGCCCTTCCCTGTAAAATCTTTTAATGCTCCAGTAGAAAAACAGGCAAGGGCCTTTGTAACAGAAAACTGGAAAT